TGACATCATACAAAATCCTATATATTCATACACCTCAGTGCCGGGTTTTCAAAAGTCTGATGTCTGTGTGTGGTCTCAGGAGTAGTAAGTAGTTGATGGGCGTGGCTTTAAATGAGACAAGCCGGAAGTGATTTTCCCACCATCGAATCCTTCAGGTCATCAAAAGGAGATGGTCTGAATGGGGCAGCTGGTCTTACTCCCTGGAACCCCTGGCTTCTCAAACTGTGGTCCTCAATCAGTAGCCCCTCTCATCACAGGAGAGATGATTAGAAATGCAAAATCGCATGTCCCCACCCCTAGAGTCACTGGTTCAGAATCTGAGTTTTATCTGAAAGTGAACTAAAGTTTGAGAAGCGCCCACCTGGGCTGTGCTGAAGGTACCTCTCAAAGGACACATCAGAGCTGACGGCCTGATATTCAGGAACTTCTCCAGAGTTGGTTCATGGTCATGCTAAGCTTGAAGTTAGTCATGGTAGAAATATTTCTATCGTGGAAATCAGAAGTCAAGCATTTTTCAAATGTTCCTTTTGAGAGCTACTTATTAAATACTTAACAGCATATTCTTGCCTCTCATTGTCACTGGTCTGCCCTTTTAGCAAAGAGGGAGGTGTAATGCTTTGACAGTGTCTGGTTAGGAGAAAATAAAACATTGCTTATCATACCAATTTCTCTGTGCTTCCATTTGCTTTTCCTTAAAATGGGAATAATGCTGTTAAAGTCATAGTAACACTTATATTACAGGGCTATTTTGAAGAGGAGATATAAATACACACATGTCTGTAACACCTAATATGTGCAGGTACACATTGGTCTATAGTCTTTGTTGATGACTTACCATATCCAGACATACAGTGTGTGTGTGTCCGTTTGGTTGATGGATCATTACCCAAACATTGTCTAAGTGTTCAGTGTTCACTTTTATGTTTTACAAAAAATAATATTGCCTTTCCATTATTAAGGAAATATATTTTTTAAGATTTTATTTATTTATCTTTAGAGGGTAAGGGAAGGAGAGAGGGAGAGAAATATCAATGTATGGTTGCCTCTCGTGCGTCCCATGCTGGGAACTGGCCTGCAACCCAGGCATGTGCCCTGACTGGGAATCGAACCATGATCCTTTGGTTCACAGGCTCGGGCTCAATCCACTGAGCTACAACAGCCAGGGCTATTAAGGAAATATTTTTTTATAAGAAACTGTTTTAATAAAATGTGAAGTGATAGTAGAAGTGATTCAAGAACATGGCAACATTTGAGGAGGGGTAATCGGAGTGCTTCAGGTGCCAGTAGCTTTGCACAGCGGGGCATGGTGGGGATGACCAATAGGGAGGCAGAAGGGTCCCCGCAGAGTTGGGCTAATTTCTTCCTGGAGGTCTGCCAGGGCCCTGCCACCAACTAGAGGACCCTGGCCAAGTCATTTCCCCCTTTTCTCTGAAAAATGAGGGGTCCGTTGGAATAGCACTCATCTGCCTCCCATACGATCTGGGTGGGAGGGCATGCATTTTCTTCACAAAGCCTTGGAGAAATCAAATGTGCCCTTTTCACAAAGAACTGGCAGTGAGGAAGGCACCCTAGTTGATAAGTACTCTGTAGCCACCATGGCCAGGGTGAATGTGGTACTTAGGGAGGAGATGCTGTGCTCATGGATTGGCTGAGCTAGCAAGTTAATGATGTGAAAGCTACCCTAAGTGCTGATTCATTCAGAGATCCTGGACTAGTCAGTGGGCTTGTTCCTGTCCAGTGCTCGACTTAAATGTCCGTTCACACCTACCCCTCCCCAGCTGGGTAATCACTTCTCAAGGGGTAGATGACACGTCCTCCAGGAAGCCTACTGTGACGCTGCCCAGATGAGTGTCATGTCCATCACTCTGTGTGCCCCTCAGTTTTCCCAGATGGTGTTTCACTGAATATTGGGGGTAAATATTTCTTAGTCTTTACCCTTTAGACGCCTTGCTTCCTGGAGATAAGCTCTCTGACCTGTTCTCCTTTCTATTCCCAGTATTGGACACACAGCATGAAGCTCATCAGATATTTATATAATGAGGGGAGGGGCTGTGGTAAGAAGGAGAAGTTTGGAGTTGGACTACCTAGCTTGAAATAATGATCTGCTTATTGGAGGTATTCTTTGGGCGAGTCATTTAATTATTCTGTGCCTCAGTTTGGAACAAAACAGCGCAAGGCTTACTCAGATTTCTCTAATTGTAAGCTATTGTGTTAATGGATGAGATCTCTGGCTCTGCCTTTACTTATTAATCCTTTCTCTCTGACTCCTGAAGTTATGGCATTGTATGAAATTGTCTCATGGTCTATTATTACTTTTTATCTCAATCTGGTGAGTTCAGGAAGGACACCGATCATGTCACATTTCATCCTGGGTGCTACTTGATGGCTTCCATCACACAAGTGTCTGTTATGAGTTTAAATTGGGATTAAGGGTCCCTATCCCCAAATCATTAACAACACAGCAGGTGCCAGAGTACTCTTGCAGAGGATTTGGCACAATTTAAAGACAATGGTACCTTCCAGCTTTTCCTAATAGCTTTACCAGGATTGTAATCTTCTAATTCTCCGGGTAGGTATTATTATTATAGTTACTGTTATTGTCCTAGCTGGCCCCCCCGTTACACAACTGGCAAGTGTAGTTTTTTTAACTGGAATTCAAATTCCCAGCAGGCTGGTGATGCCCAGAAGAGACGACCACACACATCTTAGGACTCTGCCTCTTTGCACTCAGGTCAGGGGTCTTGAACATTCAGGTCTAGCCTACCGGCAACAAAATGTCTTTGTGGCAAGCAGAACGTCTCCTTTCCCTGAGCAGTGTTGAGGCTGAGGCCCCACGACTAGAACGAGCCCCCGCTTTGGTATAAAATGGTCCAGCTCCTTCCTCACCCCCATCACCCACACCCTCCCACATACCACCGTAGGAAGCCTTGTGTGACTGCCCCTCTGGTGCTCCAGCACCTTGCTAACCCCCTCTGCAGCGGTCACACAGCTTACTTCTTGCCTCGTTCATCTGACCTTCTGACCAAAGCCCCTTCAGGGCGGGGACCACGTCAGCACCACCCTCATAGTTTAGTGAGTGCTCCCCGTGTTCTGGCCGCTTTACGTGGGTCTTGTTTCTGAATCACCCTCTGCCCAGAGAGTTAGAATGATCCTTGTCACTTGGCAGAAGATGAAACAGATGCTCAGAGAACTCTAGTACGACTTCCATCATGGCAGGGGACAACGGGAGAGCCAGGATTCCGACCCAGGCTTTTCTGTCCCACAACAGACACTCTGTAGCGTTTCCACACTCCTTCCTCGGCACTGTCCCGCCCTCACAAACAGGAGACGTAGCCATGGCCTGTGACGTGTGCGCTATCAACCCTAAGTAAATACGTGCACTGGCAATTCAGAAATGTTTTAACATTTGGGGGTCACTTATCCAGACCTTTTGAGTTTTGCTTTTGAAGCCTGCCTAGGCCTGTCCCCACGCTGGGATGAGGAGAGGTCCTGGCGGAAATGGGCTGGAAGGCAGGCGTCGTTCTGAGCTGGTTCCCTGTGGAAAGCTTCTCCCCAGTTTCCGAAATGGCTGATGCAGGCATGGGCTCCTGTATTCAGCCCCAGGGTGGAGCCACTTTCGGGGTACAGAGTCCTAGGGATTGATCTGAGCCCAGGCAAAATGTGGCAAGCAGATCAGGTACCGCTTGCATTGACAGCAGGGTCTGGGTCTGCCCTTGACAGCCAGCTTCACTCAGCCTACGGACTAGCCTCTTCCCCCCCCACACCCTGCACCCCCGCCAATGCCAATGACTTTCTTGCCTTCCCACCCAGAGACAGAATAGCACCACGAACCCACAGGTGAAAGGTTCCCCACTTCATTATGAATTCCTCGAGCTACACCATTGCTAGTGGTGCCCTGAGGAATTATTTTCCCATTTAATTTAATTCAGCAAGGCTTCTGTCTGGGATCTGCAGTGAACATTATTTTTTAAATAATTTTTTGAGAGGGAAAAAACACATTTTGCCATGCCAAAGGTAAGCAAAAAATGTATTTGACACCTGAGGTAATGGGGATATATTTTTGGCCCATCCCTTTCTGAATCTCTTCAATTGAAAATTGTATTTTTACTATATTCTGTTCCCCAAGGAGCTTTTCATAATTTAAATCTCCTGTTCCACTGTGGAATGGGAGCCCTGACACTGTCCTGATTATGGCATACAGACTGGACACTTCAGGGTTTCTCTCTGGGGGCATTCCAATTTTATTCACTCAGTATTAGCATCCTGGCGGAGAGTTGCACTCTGCACCCGGAACTGGATGATCCCTTCTGATGGGTTGTGGCAGCGAAGACTGTAAAAAATTGGGGAAATTTCCCTCCTCATTCTCAGGCCTAAATTTAAACACACACACACACACACACACACACACACACATTAAAGGCTGGTTTCTTCACATGGTTCAGCATAAAGTGAACTAGAACAGATCTTTACAGTGGTAAAGAAAGAAAGAAAAAGAGAGGCAAAGGCAGAGGAGAAGGAAGAAGAAAACAGCAGATGCACACATGCTTTACAAGAATACAAGAGAGCTTCATTAGCACACAACCAGGCTTGCATTAGAAAGAAAAAAGAATGTGAGAAAAGTGAAGGGAAGGGATGGAGGGAAGGAAGGAAGGAAGGAAGGAAGGAAGGAAGGAAGGAAGGAAGGAAGGAAGGAAGGAAGAAAAGGGAGGGAAGAAGGGAGGGAGGGAAAAGCCAATTTCTATTACTATAGTCTAAGCAATTTTTGGTACGTAACATAGATAAAATATTAACACTAAAATCTAAGTGAAGCTTGCACAATAAAAGGGCCTGTTATTAGCTTACTTGCTCTGAGTTCTCAGATCAACTTCCTTAACTCAAGTTTCAGGAAATGTCTGGTGTTGCTCATGTAGCTGATTATGAAAAGCAGTGATTTTGTTTCAGAACCTATTTCAGTGGACTTTTTCCTCTTTCTTCCTCCTTTTTAAAAAAAAATTTTGCAGGACATTTCAATGAAAAGGAAAGCCGATGGATCTTGGCCTCAGACACTCTGCGTAGACCATGTCTGTGTCGTCCTGTGAGCACGAGGCAGACCTGTAAGTAAACGCTCGGCCCCGCGTGATGAACTGGATGGCTGCGGACCGGAGGCCAAACAAGTAATTGTCTCATTTCCGTGGTGATTTGCTTAACCGGCGGGACCATGCCAGAACGGCTCGTGCAAATGCTCTTGGATCTCTGGACCCCTCTAATGATATTATGGATTACTCTCCCCCCTTGCATTTACACGGCTCCGCTGAATCAGTCTCAAGTTGTGATGAGTGGATCCCGTTCGGAACTAAACAGGCTGAGCGAAGAACAGCGGATTTTGAACCGCTCCAAAAGAGGCTGGGTTTGGAATCAAATGTTTGTCCTGGAAGAGTTTTCTGGACCTGAACCGATTCTCGTCGGCCGGGTAAGTTTTGTCTTTGAGATCCCCATTTCAGGATCTGTCCCTTGTCTTTCCATCTTAACATCGGGCCTGTTGAAGTTGCTGACACACTTAGCTTTGAGTCCTTTTGGCCAGATGGTTTGTTCCTTTACCTATTGGCTTCCTTAGGAATATGAGTAATCTCATGGCAACAGTTCTAAGTGGAGACAGGCTGTTCTGGGGAGAAAGCTCATCCCCCCCATGCCTTCCACTCCATCATAGCCACAATAACACTTGTGTAATACACACAGAAGTAAGATGTTCTGTCTCATTTCATACAAGACACCTCTCACTTACAGTGCTCGGAGAGGTATACGTTGTTTCCGGTTTGAATTTATACCACCTTGATCCTTAAACTGTTATTTTCTTTCATTTTGTTTTGAGGCCATGCTTCTCTGACTTCAGGTAGAGTTGCTTCCTTTTGCATGTTAGTGTTTTGCTGTGCTACTCGTTAACCTGGGATTCAGGAAGGGAAATTTCTTGCCTGGAGGCCCGACAGCACTTTGTACTGTAACTCGATAAACTTGGCAGTAGGGACCTCGTTCGTTCACTGTCAGATGGAATCCAGTATATAGAATCCAAATTGTTCTGTAGGGGTGTATGTGAGTGCATGTGTTAGACTGGATTTACATTCGTTTCGTTGGTGTTGGCAGGTTAGACAAGTGTTTCTGGTGCAGATCAGTGCCGCCTGCTTCCCAGAGTCACACTGTGGGTTACTGAAGACCATGCATGTTGATTCTGCAAAACTGCTCATGAGCTTCTGTTCATTTTGACACACACCAATTTTGTAGGTAGAATTCCAATGACGAGCCTGCCAATGGCTGATTTTCTTGATAAGTCACATTCAGAAGTGAATCATGCCAATGGTTTTTATTTGCCAAATGCAGCAGTTTAAAAGAAAAATAGGAAGGGAATTCAATGTTGATCTTTAAGACTTCAGTTAACTCTTCATGTTTTGCTGGGAGCTTCTGCTTGCTTTTCTGCTCCTGCCTTGCAAAGTAAATTGAGCCCGTTCCAGGGGTTATTTTCTCATTTCGTATAGTTCTCCTTGGGCAGAGGAGACCTGAGTAAGGAGGTACAAATCATTCAAAGAACATTTATTGAACCCTTTCTATGCACCCGCCACCCTTTCAGGCCCACAGCAATGGTTCCTGCCTTCAACGAACTCACATTCTGGTCGGTACTGGGTGTTTTCTATAATAGTGTTGAGTACTGTTATAAAAGCACTTGGTGTGTATAATTCTATTCCAACAATAGTTTCTTCCTCCTCTCTCTGTGCACATGTATACCTTTATTTCATAAGTCCAGAAGACAAAGATCTCTGAAGGAAAATTTTTGTATGCCGGCCACAAAATCAGGCAGCAGAAGGACTTGGAGCTATTTATAGTCATCATGCATTCCAGGAGTGTGACTGTTCCTGTATCTGCCCGCGGAAATGTTTATGTGTTTGATTACAGGGTGCAGCCCCAGCCCCTACTGAGGGTGTTACTTATGGTATAGTTTTCATAGTTGGACATGTTTCTAAATATGAAAGATTCTGAATTCCAAAACACATTTGGCCCAGTGGGCTTTGAATACAGACTTCTTTTTTTTAAATAAATAAATAATTCATTAATTTTTAATTACTTTATTGTTGTTCCGTTATAGTTATCTGCATTTTCTTCTCACCATTCCATCCTGACCCCAGCCAAACCCACGCCCCTCCCTTGCTTCCACACTTTCCCTTGGTTTTGTCCATGAGTCCTTTACAGTAGTTCCTGAAAACACATCCCCCCACAGTCCCCTCCCCCTCCCCTCTGGGTAGTATTAGATTGTTCTTAATTTCAGTGCCTCTGGTTATATTTTGTTCGCTTTTTTTCTTTTGCTGATGAATACAGACTTCTTGACCAGCATCCTTTTTTTTTTTTTAAATAAATGCAGGAACTAAGACTTAGATGGATTAATAAAGCAAACCAAGATCATAGAACTAGTAAAGGATCTGAGTTTGAATTGAGCTGGAGATTCCCAAAGCCATAATTTTACCCACCGTATGTATTCTGTTATACCTTAGTCACTAGCTTCCACCTGTTTAAACTATAATTTGCACTTAAGAGTTACTGAGCATTGAATGTAGAGTCCTTACATTCTTAGTTCCTGGATATTGAGGACTCCTTTAGCCAGCTGAAAGGCAAATTATTTCATACCATGTGAAATTCTGGGTAATTTCAACATGCCTATGCAATAGACATCTTCCCCCTGTTTTTATTAGTTAACTCTTTATGGAGGGTACGTCATCACACCAATGGTATCTGTATAATATAAATGAACAAGTATGACATTCCCAGGAGAACTTTTTCCTTTTATCTGAATAGAAGAAGTAATTAAATTGGGTTTTATTTTAGACTCATAGACTCTGATGACTAAATTCACTTCCATTCTTTGAATGAAGTAATAAAGGCATTCAGCATCTTTTGTGACTTAGTAACACTCAAGAAATTCATGCTTCTTTGAATGGCAGAAATGTTGTTAGTGAACCCCCAGGACTTTGAAATAGCCAAAATGTTCCTGCATCTTCATGACCGATTTTATGAGTTTTCTTTTTTCTTTTCTCTTCTCTTCTCTTCTCTTCTCTTCTCTTCTCTTCTCTTCTCTTCTCTTCTCTTCTCTTCTCTTCTCTTCTCTTCTCCTCTCCTCTCCTTTCCTTTCCTTTCCTTTCCTCTCCTCTCCTCTCCTCTCCTCTCCTCTCCTCTCTCTCCTCTCCTCTCCTCTCCTCTCCTCTCCTCTCCTCTCCTCTCCTCTCCTCTCCTCTCCTTTCCTTTCCTTTCCTTTCCTTTCCTTTCCTTTCCTTTCCTTTCCTTTCCTTTCCTTTCCTTTCTTTTCTCTTTCTTTCTTTCTTCCCCTCCCTCCCTCCCTCCCTCCCTCCCTCCCTCCCTTCCTTCATTCCTTCCTTCTCTCTCTCTCTCTCTCTCTCTCTCTCTCTCTCTTTCTTTCATATTTTAATCACCCAAGGACATGATTGTTGGTTTTAGAGAAAGAGGAGGGGAAGGGGAGAGACAAAAAGAAATACTGATGTGAGAAAAAAACCTTGATTGGTTGCCTCTCATATGCCCCTGACTGGGGACTGAACCTGCCACCCAGGTATGTGCCCTGACCGGGAATTGAACCCACAGACTTTCAGTGTACGGAAGGACACACCAACCAACTGAGCCAACAGGCAAGGCCAATGAATTAGCTCTTTTCCTGCTCCCTTCCGTAGCTAATTCCAGAACAATTGCTAAATCAGAGTAAAACTTATTTTCTCAATAACCTCTTTCACAAATATTTCCGATCACCCATATTTACTCTTAAAGAAAAGTGCTCCTGAATTTTTACAGTTTAGCCTTTAAGGATCTCGGGTTGTAGTGAAGCCAGAAATACATCTCGGGCGGCTGCTTCTGATTACAAGGCAGGCTGAGTGTGCGGGTGATCGTATCAGGGTGCCCGCGGGTGCTTCGCAGCACTTTATCTCTGGGCACGCTCTTCCACACCCGGCTCTGAACCACTTCATCACGGGGCTTCTCCCCAGGAACTGGCTGAGAAGCACTGGTTGCTTTTGAACACACCTGCTCTTTCAAAGGCCCTCCTGGGAATCTCAAGGGTAAGGGCCTTTGGCCCAGCAGACCGAGTTCAAGCTCAAGGGCAGAGCTGTTTTTGAGTGATTGGCTCTTCACACATACCCTGAAGTCCTCCATCCTGTACTTTTCCTGTATTCGGTGGCAGCTGCATGTAGAGAAAGAGCTTAGCCTTAGAGACGCACTCTGCCGAGGTTTCAGTATTGGCTTTGCCGTTTTCTGGGTGTTAGGCTTGGAAAAGGTACTAACGCTTTCAGGGTTATGCAAGTAGGATACCTAATAAGAGTAAATAAAATAATGTATGTATGGTGCCTGCACATAATTATAGCCGTGATTATATTAATTGTATATGTGTGTATGTACATGTAGTTGGAGTGGTGGACAAACTGAAAATTACATCACGAAGTGAGCAAAGCCCTTTCAATTAGTCCTTAAGGGTGAAGGGGATTTTTAGGGGTGTCCTGAAGGATGACTCTCACTTATCCTGGAGGGGTGGGGTGGGGTTGGAGGTCAGGTGCCCCAGCTGGACAGAAAGGTCTAGGCAGTGTCACAGGGGTGGGGCAGGACTGCTGAGGGGTCCCTGGGTCAGAAGCAATAGAAAAGCCTGTGCATTTCCTGTTGAATTAGAATGAAGTTGAAGCTGAAAACCGTATTTGTAAAGAAGCCTTCCCTGTCCCATTCTGTCTGAAATATAACTGTCCCATTTTTGGTATTTGATATCCTTTGACTATGCTTTATTTTCAGTTCTTCTTGGTGACCATTATCTCACATTCTCTATTCTTTATCTTGTTTATGATTTTACTAGAATGTGAATGCTACAAAGAAAGGTTTATTTGTCTCCTTTCTTCTTCACTATATATCCCCAGGATCTAGAACATGGCCTGCACACAGGAAGTGCTCAGTAAATACTGTGCATGAATTAACGAATTCACAATGTACCTAAGCAATGGAGGAATTTGCACAAGAAATATAAATTCCATCAGATTTCATGCAAACAGCCCTTTTCAATAAAAAGAACTCCAATGCATTGCTTTCATGCTCTCTCTTTCTTGATAGTGTTTTACAGACCAGCTGGGTAGTGTAAACATTGTTTCAATCTGTTGAATTTAAAAGTCTTCCATTGAGGAAGTGACAGTCAACAAGTTGACTTACTAAAACAACTCTCCATTTGGAGGTTGCAGGCTTCCTACTCTGGGGACTGACCCCTTACTAGTGGCAGACTAGTGGGGGGGTGTGGCGGATTTCATTATCTTCCAATCCTTCTGCAAATTTACCCCTCGTGTTTGTAGCCCCAAGTACGCCAGAGTCTTCTTTCTGAAATTCTGCGAAGCAAATACCAGCCAAATAGGCTCCAGATCTCTGTAGAACAGGGCGGTTCAGAGCCTGTTCATAAAC